TAAGCCTACAGAAATTCCTTCAATGTTGGACAAGAGATTGATTGGTTGTATATGTAAGTATTTTAAACTTTTTTCCTTCCATTATAGAACTTATTTGCAAATGAAAATAGAGATCAAATTTTATGATATTTTGGGTACTTTATTTAAATGGTTTTTAATCTAAATCTTTTAAATATGCTATTGACTTTTAAATTTGTTTAGACGAAACACAAATATTAATTTTTCTTTTTAACTGTTAGAATATTATTTCACTGTATATGCAGAATAATTTTGCCAAATTGATTATAAATTTTAATTAATTTTACTCTTTAATAAACCATGTAGGCAATATGACAAATTGGATTGATGTTAAATTGTTTTATCAAGTTAGATTCTAAATACTTAAAATTGATATATACAGTAGAACCTCATTATCTTGAGTTATACAGTAAGACCCCGCTTAGTGCTGCCTCACTTAACACTGATTTCACATAACATGGTCTGCTCGAAGCCTTAAAAAAAAGCTCAAAATTTACGCTAATTTAAATTATCGCGGCATTTCATTGATTCATATATAATTCGATTATTTGTAAACACAAACCAATCAGCAAAAGGTGGCAAACGGTGTACTTTTTCTAAATCTATGTTTGTTTGATGCAATTTCGGAAAAAATATAACATCAGGATGAGATAGGAAATATTGACTTNATATAAAACAGCCAAAAATAGTAAGCTGAAACAAATATTCATATCTGAGAAATATATGGTGTGTTTTGAAATTCCTGTTACAAACTTATAGGACAGATTCCTTTAGAAAAACTAAGATAAAAATGTTCAGTAATGTTTTTCGAATAAAGCATTTATTAAGAAGTTATAAATGCTTAAAATTCATGTCATTCTGGAATTTGATGCATCTGAAAAGAATAAAAAGTATGCATATATTTTTTTATTGTAATCTTTTATTTTCATTAAAACAAATAAAATTTATTGTATTCATTTAAAAAGTTACTTTTTAAGTAAATTATTACCATCATGCAGCAAGCAGAGCAGTAACTAGGGTATGGCCAATGTGGCCCCCCTGCCATAGGCGCCGATTTAATAAAGGTGCCAATGAGAAGGTTTCAGGATAATATGTATTTGAAATTAATAACACAAAAAAATTTATATATTTTTATTTATACAGTAATACCTCGACTTACACTACCCCGACTTATGCAAACCCGGAGTTACGCAATTTTCAAATCTTGTTGATTCATCTTTTATTTGAGCGCCACAACAACTCTTGATTATTCACTCCCCCCACACTATTGTTCAGCTTACATGTTCGGATGTGTCGCGCGGAATCGACACATAGCTACAATTTATTTTGTGTTATTTATATCTGTGTTTGTTATATCTACGGAGACTTGAGAGACTCTATGTGGTGATTTCTCTTAACCATGAATAAATCAAAAGACGAGATAAGATTAATGAGAACATTTACTAGCTTATATACATCCGACTTGGATTTTACATAAATTGCAAAATTATACCCTGACTTATGCAAATTCGACTTACGCGGTTATCGCTCGGTCCCACCTATTGTGTAAGTACGGGTATTACTGTATAGTATTTAAATGCCATTAGATAATTTTTTTACAAAAGCATTTTTTAGAATAAAATTATTTTTTTAATAATAAAAATTAAAAAGGTGTCATTTTTATTCCTGGCCATAGGCATCCAAAATCCTAGTTACGGCTCTGGCAGCAAGTATTAAAAAAAAAATATGGAGGGAGCTTGCATCACATTACAGTAGAAAGATCATCTGATTTTGCATGTATTCTATTGCACATATAAAATACTTATTACTTTGAACTAGAATTCACTTGCCAGTGAGTTCTCAATAGGTAACATGTCTAAGTACACATTTGAAGAGTACACTGACATGATGTTAATTTGTGGTGAAGCTTGATGTAATGAAAGAGTTGCTCACCACCTTTATCAAGAGTGTTTTCTGCATTGTATTACTCCATTACATGTCATTTTTGCCAGAGTTAATGAATGGCTGTGAGAAACAAGTAACTTCAAAGAAAACAAGCCAATTTCAGTACTCCCAGGAAGTGCTGCACACCGTATCTTAATGAGACCGTACTTCATCAAGTTGAAGATGTCCCTTTGACAAGTAGCTAAACTGTTGCTTGTGGTATAGGTGTGGCTCATAGTACTGTCTGACATGTTCTGCATAAACATCAACTTCCCCCTTACCACTTCAAGAAGATACAGGAAATGAATCCAGCTGACTCTGCACCATCTGCTATATATGGTTTCTCTACACTGGTAGACACACCCCAGTTTCTATAGTAATTTTGCTCACAGATGATGCCAAATTTACCAGGGAAGCTGTTCTCAATTCATGAAACAGAACTTCAGAACATTTGGGATGAAGAAAACCTGTATGCTATGCATTCCAATGGATTTTGGCATCAATATATGGGGCAGGTATCATTGCTGGTCATTTGGTTGGGTCATGCCTCCAATTCCACCTAACAGGTACAAGTACTTGACATTCCTAGAAGTGCTACCAGAGTTAATAGATGTGCCATTGTACATTCTTTAACAAATATGGTTTCAATATGATGATGCACTGCAACACTTTGCACATGCCATCCACAATTATCTCAATCAAACATTCAAGAGAAGATGGATAGGATGAAATGGCCAATACCTTGGCCTTTGCAATCACCAGATTTAACTCTACTTGGCTTTTTCCATTGGGGCCAAATAAGGAGTCTTGTTTACCAGATCTCGTAGAGTCAGAAGAAGATCTGCTTGCATAAATTATGGTCCTGGCACAAGAAATTCCACATACACCAAATATTTTTGAGCAGTTTACCAAATATACCAGTACACTAAAACACACTTCACAGATACAATGTTTGCATAGATGTTGCAGATTGCTGTATTGAGCAGCTCTTGTAGTAGATCAGGATGCAAAGTGAAACAAACACTTAAAAAGTATTACATATTTTTATAAAAAGAACATTGGTTTCAAATACATAAAAATAAAGTACAAAATTTTAATATGAATCTACTTTTCTTAAAAACCTTTCAATTTAAATAAAAGAATAAAACTTGAATTTGTCCTCATTCATACAAAAACCTGGGAATGACATCACTGAACATTAAATATCAATAACTCCTTAATAGGTTTATTAATAAGGTTTTATTCAAAAAATATTACTGAACATTTTCTTAAAGAATCTGTCCTATAAGTTTGTAATAGGGTTTTGTGTGTTGTCAATAAACAACCAGAATATCAAATTTGAACTTAAAATGAAAGAGTACGAGGATGAGTTTGAATACTCTTTCATTTTAAGTTTGAATTTGATATTCTAGTTGTTTATCGACAACGATGGTTAATGTTCAATCTTATTCAAACATATTACGGGAACACATGAACATAAGGATGTTATTCTAAATCTTTGTCTCACCATTCAATTATGTTTGAATTTTATATTCATGTTCATTTTAGAAGATCCAGCTGGTTTGGAATTGAAATAAGCCTGAGGAAAAACCCAGAAGGGGTTATGAAAACAGTCGATATTCAAGAGTTAATCTAATTCACAGCAGTTAATGGCTGAAGTGAGTCTAATTTTAAATGATTGTTATAGTAAAGTTAAAAATTATACAGTTTCACAATTGGCGACTGTTCGGTATGCCAATAACACAATGAATAGTTTCAACAGTTCTTATCTCCCAAACTTGTCTGTCAAGAAGACACCTTACAATGGCTGATGAACAGTTGGCTAGCAGTAACACTTTCTTCGGTTATAGTAGAACTCGGTCAGTGAGACGGATTCAATTCCAATTTTCCACTTCCATGTCGACCTTATATAGTCATCAACAGCCGTCAGCTGACCAATCAGAGGCTATGCTAGTCATAGCTCTATTCCAGGTCTGCCACATCATGTGATTTAGCCAACAGTCTCTTCCTTGAGACACATGTGCCACCAATTCAAATTCAATCGATCATGTTCCTTACATGATCTCACCACCATGGCAATTATTATATTGTTTAACATATCTTTTCCACAAAACTGTCAATTATATTTCATTATGTCTAAAAGACATTAAAAAATCATTACATAAAATGTAGGTAATATGTAATCATTTTGTACTGTATATGATTATTCTTGAACAATCATATACAGTACAATAAAAATACCATAATACATTAATAGAAAAATTTTTAACTTATGATATATAAAAATTATTATATGTTCTAGTTTTATTGATAAATAATCATGTTAAATAAATATTTTATATTCTAATTTAATATATTGTTACATTAAACTGTAAAAAATAATTAACATTTAAAAATATAACCAGAGACTTAAAAATGATAATTGTTATAAGTTCCAATTACAGCTGTCCCTTGATAATCCGACAGGTATGGGACCAAAGAGGTGTTGGATTACCAAAAGTATCCGATTACCAAAAGTGATTACATATTTGGCATTGTTTTGCTAGCAGTAGCCTACAATATTCCCTACTCCAACTGTTCGAACAGAACTATTCACAGAAAACACACGAAATGTGTGTCATCGTGTAAGAATTTGTTGGGGAGATTCACGTCGCAACATGCTTCTGTGCGAGCAGACATGTAATGGGGACGGGGTACCTTGACGGGAGGTGCGTCGGACTACTGAGTATGTCGGATTACAAAACGTCGGACTATCAAGGGACAGCTGTATATATCACAAATTCACTAATAAATGTTTAATTTTGATTAATATGTCTTTAATAGATTCAATTCAAATTCTGCTTTTTTAAAGACTAATAAAAATTCTAGATTTATGAAAAAATATATTAATTCATTAAATTTGAAGATAAAATTTTAAGTTCCTCATTTTGCATGTTTGATTATTTATTATTATAGATTCTGACAAACATGAAGCCATCTATTAGTGATATTATGATAAAAATAAATGTTATTATAATTTTAGTATTATTATGACAAAAAAATAAAATGATAATACATACAACAGATGATCATTTCCATAATAATTTGTAAACACTCCAATATATACTGATAAAATAGAAATAATAACACAGAAGAGAGCAATAGGGGCAAATTTGCTAACAAATCGAACTCCAATGAAGACAACAATTCCAACAAGTACTAAAAGGATGGTTCCGTAAGTACGAATATTATGATACATTATTTCCTGGTCATTACGAAAATCTCCATATAAAGCTAAACTTGGTGCCATGTAATTCTGAAAACGACAAAAATATATTTAACTTAGAAAATTAAAAGAAAAAAAAGATAAATTAAATTTATACTTGTGGTGAAGCTTGANAAAAAATCAATATTACATATAAATTATAAACAAGCATTCTTATTATTATAAAATTATAAATAGTACATTAAACAATATGTAATACAAAAGTCCAAAAAAGTTTGATTATTAATTAAAAAGAGATCATTACAACTATCATTTTCATTTTAATTTAATTTCATAATATACTACTAATTTTACATTTAGTTTACTTTTATTCATCAAGCAAACTAAATTAAGTAAAATTCAGTAGTTGTAACTTAATGAAATGTGCTATTATATATGCTTATATTATTGACCAAGATTTAATAACTCCCATTAAACAGTATATTGTATATAAAATATATATAAATATTCCTCATACAACACAGCACTTCTATAACATGATTTCATTCTATCAAGGTTCGAAAATTGGGGAAATTCCCTGTACAATATGGTTTCACTCTGACAGTTTGAGAATTTGGGAAAGCCCTCTGTACAAAATTTCACAATTTTTAAGTGTCAAACGCCATTATTTTATATATTTTTTTATTCAAATAAGCATGTGTGTTGTCTCAAATTTGCCCATGAATTTTAGAATATTGAAATTTTCAGTTTGTTTTGTCCCTTTTGTCAGGTTTACTTTAAGGAAAACTGATAGTACAATTTTTTTCTTCCTCTGTGAGGACCCGAACAGGGGTCGACTGAGAGGTCCGAATTATGGGTGTTGATTTAAAATAAAGAGCTCCTTTTCAGACGCTAAGGAAATGGATTAGGTGTCTCGATTGAACAATGCAATTGTTTTTTTTTCGTAAATTTGTTAAACAATGGAAACAGATAAATTCGAGGAAAACGCGACGAGAGAGAGGAATCATATTCAGTCGCAACGTTGACCTCTCCCGTGCCCTTCATTAGGTTTCGAATTGTCACCAGGTGACTATGAGAGACCAATGGAGAGGCGACGACGGTTAAGAAATCTATAAAACCGTGCGATTCAAGGGACAAAGGTTCTTGGTTCTTGGTGCTCCTCTCCAGGATTTTTGTGATCCTACTTATCAACAGCGACCGATTCGTCAACTCCTGTGACTTACTGTCGTTCTCCCGTGACGTCTTGATTTGAACAGATTTGCCTTTCACCAGAGACTTTCGCCGAAGCGGTGCCGCACGCCCCGGGGCCGTTGATCTCAACGTACGACATCGAAGGACCAAACGGAGAAAGTCAGACCCTTGAAGGAACTTTTAATTTGCTCCCCGAGCTGTGTTACGTTGAAAATTTGAAGAACGTTGTAAGAATTTTTTGTTATATAATAAACGGGTTAAAGATGGTAAACCTGTCTCAGAAAGTCATTCAGCGCCCACACGACAGAAAGGACCGCTCGGCTGTCGAAAAACCCTCACCCTAATCGGCTGACCTCACACCTCTATCCTAGCTTTCTTTCATTGTCATTGCTTTCAGACTAGCCTTTAAAATTGTCACTGTGTTTTGTTTTTATAGATTAATCTTTGTATTTAGTAAAGTTTATTTAAAATTTTTAAGTAAGTGTTTATTAATTTTTTTTAACTATAAGCAAGTAATCATTTGTAAAAATGACAAACAAAATATAGCTGTCTCTATATTTTATCTGTCATTTTTACAAATGATTACTTGTCTATGATTGAGTTGGAAACTGTTTCCAACTCAATTTGGTATTCAAACAAATTTTGGGGGGAATCCATCATTCAGTAATCAACTGAACAAATATGACCCACTAAAACAAATTCTTGATTAATAACAGCTTTTATTTTGTCATCCATAAAAACTTTTTATGATAGAAATAAAAAATGAAGATGCTGCTGATATTTCTTGTCAAGATCAACAAAAAAGCTCAGAAAATAATGATACATTGTAATAAGAAAACAATCTGGTTTAACTAAAATTAATATTAATGCATAATACAATACTTTTAATTGTGATTGTTAGTTAATTATCAATTGGAAATAAATTATTGATTACTTTCGTAAACATATTTCTCTTAGTAACAAAAAAGAATAGTATACTTTTGGTATATATAGTTATCTTAGTTATCTTTTGGAACCTAACTCTATGAAACAGAGGACGAGTGCAAAACATATAGCATGGATTCACATAATATGGCACTTTTTTGGAATCTAACTACCATTACACAAGGGATAACTGTATTTTGCACCTGTTTAGTTTTTCCTTAGTCTGCTACAATGTGTTAAAAATTAATAACTACATTATTAAAAATATTGTTGTTTAGAACACCATCCTTTTAAAAACCCTGTGCCCAGAACAGAATAAAATTTGAATCTATAATTTTGACTAATCAATAGAACTAGAATTGTAATTTTATTTATTCACTGAAAATTAGGAAAGATTTAATTTCTGGAGTCAGTTTAAATAATAATTGTTATTAAATGTGAGAAAGATCAATTAAAACAGACGTGCTCTAAGTTAACCACATGTCATTTGTTACCTTTGAAACAATATGTATCTAACATGTGATCTATTCATTTATGACTTATAGCCAGGAGATAAATCTGCCATTCAAGGTTGAAAGTGATCATTTTTGTTTGAAACCTTATAATGGACATATCTAGTCTGTTTAAAACAAAGACTTAACGGAAAGATTTGGATTATATTACATTAAAATAGCTGAAAAAATTATATAAAAAATAAGTGAATAATAGCTAATACCATTCCTGTATGGAAATTGAAATTCTCTTATCAATCTGTTATCTGTATCAATTTCATCATAAAATACTTCAAAATTTTTTGTTTAAATCACTTTTATTTAGTGACATCATTCAAAAATAATTCTTTACCTGTGTGTGTATTAATATATACGTGTAATTGTAATATTATCTGTGAATTTAGATTCTATAATTTGAATTGTAACTTTTAAACTGTTTTCTTCTTAAATCTTTAAAAGTTGATTCTGTCAAATTTTAAAAATGCTTAAAATTCTTAACATATCTTATTATTAAAATTAAAGTATTAGAAATAAACATTTTTAATATGTACTTACAAGAAAAATTTCAACAGCACCAGTAATATACATTGCTCCAGCAAATGATGTTGCTAAATAAAACAATATTCCTACAGCACCACCAAATTCAGGACCTAAGGCTCTAGATATCATGAAATATGATCCACCAGCTTAAAATGAAATTTAAAAATAACTATTGTCAGCATTTAATAAATATGATAATTTATATTAAATTTTTAAAATATAGTAACAGATATGTATAATAATTTCAATAAAATCAAGATAAAAATAAACATGCAATTCTTAGTATTATTAGGCTAATGTCAGACAAGCATCAAAATGGATAGATGCTGTTTTTTCCATTCATGGATGTGAAGTCAATCATCAGATGAGCATTATATTCCATGGTGTGCATTAGTAGTCAGTTTTCTTTCAGATGTGTATATATCAACATGAATCTCAGCTCTTTGCTTAAAGTTTATGTTTTGTCATAATTTTTATGCTCCATTTAGTAAAGTATCCTATAGTGCTTGCTATTTATAATCTGATTAAAATATGATTTCTACAGATGAAAAGATAAATAATATACTGTATATATATATACATACATATATATTACGAAAACATCAAATTTGTGTTAGGAACGTGAAAATACCAAAAAATCTAATTATATATATATAATAGTTTGTCCGAATAGTTTGTCCATTATTCAGAGGTACATGCTGATGGCTATATTGCATTTTAACCCAGTCATTATATATATATATATAATGACTGGGTTAAAATACATATATATAAACAATTATATATATATATATATATATATATAATTAGATTTTTTGGTATTTTCACATTCCTAACACAAATTTGATGTTTTTGTAATCCACTGTATTCTTCATTTTATAATGACCAGGTTAAAATACAATATGGCCACCAGCATGTACCTCCGAATAGTGGACAAACTTCTGTCCAATGGTGTCTGCTATTCGGAGATTATTTTCTTACATAAGACTAATATTGAAAATATCATCATCATCATCATTTCTTTATTAGCAAATGGGAATAATTCCCCTGTTACAGGGGGAATACAATCAAATAAGTTGAATAGATTTACATTTATGTTTTACAGTAGTGTTTAGGTCATTAAAAGTCATTTATTATTTTCTAATTTATACATTTATTTCATGGTAAACATTTATATTATAACAAGAGTTTTGTATAAATACATTAAAGTAATTATTTTTATTCTGTTACTATTTTAAAGGATTATTTTTAAACATATTTAAGATATTAGCTTAAGTTTCTATATATATCCATTATTTCAACAAAATAATTATAAATTTTATGTAAATCCTTTTTTATTAATATTGTTTAAATTTGTTAGAAGATCAAGTTGCAAGTTGCTATTGAATATATGAACAATTTCATATTGATCACGTATATTATTAAGTTTTAAACATTTTAATAACAAGTGAAAAGGTGAAAATTTGTCAGAGTTACATAGAAAACATTTATTATTATTGAATTTTATATAAATATTATTAATGTAGAGTGAATATTTATTTAAGAAAAGTTGGATTATTAGTCGTTTAACATTAAAATTAACAGATAGTGACATGTATGGTTGAATGGATGGAATTCTAAGTAGGTCAATGTACTGTACCAAGAATGATAGTTACTATGGGTTAGAGAGAGTTGGTCTTTGATTATTGATTGGGATATTGCAGAGTTCAAAAGGAAAGAATAACCGTATTTCCAATCTTGCTATTTGGAGATTATACAGTATATATCTTTTTGACCTGATACCTTCAGAGACAAACAATGCTCTACTGTTAATAAATTTAGAAAAATTTTATTGATTTATATTATTATTTTTAAATAATTCTAAAATAATTACATTTTCATTTTGATAAATTTATATTCAAGTTATTTAGAGGTATTAACTTAAGTGTCTGATACCAGGGCATTTACAAAGTCTCTGTATTTAAATTTTCTTTTCTTTTTTATTGCCATATTCTTTGAATTTTTCACCAAAGATACTGATATTATTTATAAAAAATATCTGCATTGAATTTAATTCATTAAGATATTCTTTACCAAGTTTAAAATCAGTCAAATAAATGAATTGGTATCCCTCTTATGCTATAGTTCCAATTATCTGGGAGCAATTTAATCCAAACTTCTGCATTATTTGAGGAAAATTATGGAAGAATATTTTGTCAATTAAGACAAGAAACTTTGCTTCAAGTAGATATTAAAATGATCTGTCATAAATTAATCAATCAATTCCCTAGATTATCATTATTATTTATATTGTAATATATATAATATTGATAATCTAGGGAATTGATTGATTAATTTATAACAGATCATTTNCTGATATGTTGGATTTATGCAAAAAAAACAAAATTAACAAATCTCAAATATATATTATTAAAGCTGTTTGTTTTGAAATGTTTTGCAGATACATCACTAATAATCTTTTAAAATTATGCCTTTCATTTATTTACATAATAATGAAATTCACAAATATTGTAAAACACTTAGAAATAGTATTATCATTTTTTATTCTAAAAATTTAATAAACTATAAAAAAACAAGGGTATTTATCTACTTACATATTTATGTAGTTATGAGTTATCCTCCTGCATGTTTCATCACATTGTATTGAATGTTGCTTTCCAATGTTGCATTGTGTTGCATAGCATATTTTGCAATCAGATAAAATATCGTGCTATTCAAAAATAAAAATTTAAAATTTATTTGAAATTTTTCAAAGCAATTTTGCTAAAATAGTACAGTTAATAATTTTGGTTGTTATTACATTAAAACTTAATTATTACTGCTTGAATTGAATTTTAAAGTAATACAACTTACTCATACTTTCTTTCATTTAGAACTTGCTTCATAGGCTAGCCATTTTTTAACAATAATTGTCACTAGTACATGAAACTTATTTTCCGTTTAAAATGGTCTTCTCTGTACAAATTCAGCAATATACCAATTTAGTTGTTTTCTTGTTGATTCATGTTGAATAAATATTGTGCTTTTTTGTACTTTTTTACCATATTGAATTTGTCTGTCTGTCCTGATACCATCATCATACCAACATTCATTTTGTTACACCCACATTTTGGATATTTCTACTTTAAATATAAGTTTGTTTTAAAAGTTGAAAGATTTCAAAATCTAATATACCATATTCCTGTAGCATACAAATATCAACTTCAGACATAAACTATTCATTAATTTCAAAAATTGAACGAATAGTTCATTATCTATACATTGTCTCATCAATACAGTACATTCTCAAACCAAAGACTGTATGGTATGTTTGATTTCTTAAAAAATAGTTCTTTTAAAAGTATTTTTCATTTATATCAGAATATGTCGTTGAAACAAATCAATCTTAACAAAATTTTATACAGATCAAAGGATTTAATTATTTCATTTGATTAATGTCATATGATATTGGGCCATATTAATGCTACTATTAATAATTAAATGTTAAGTAATTTCACCTAGAGATAGTCATTAGACACCATCTCTTGATAAATTTAATGATTATAATTAATATTAATATACAAATAGCAATAATATAGCCAGATATAATCCAGCAATCGTTTGACATTAATCTTAAAGATTGGGTTAAACAATGTTTGTATTTGTTTATTTTATTTGGTTACCCATTCAAACTTGTCTATGATGTTTTGTAAGCATGCAACAGAGCATGATGGATGACATTGGAAAACGATATACAATGCAATCTGTGGGAGGATAATCCACAAGTACCAAACAAGTTTAGTTTACATTCATGATGAAAGAATCTATAGCTTACAAAGTAACACTAACTCAGGCAGTAACCTTCAAGAAATTCTGTTATGAGTTATTACTTTGTCAGTTGTAGAACTATTTTATTATAAATATGAACTGAATTGGTTCTTTTTATAATTTTCTAAATTTTCTCCATTTATTTTATTATATATTTCTATTTAAGGATATTCATATAGTCAATAGAGAGGTTGTGGCCAATGTTTTCAATGCCAAAACGTGTACATCGGACGTTCAGTGCTGCCTTCCTGTAAGCCTAGAAGTTTGACAATGGTGCTTGGAATGTCGAGCATGATTCCACTGACGTTCCAAACGCCATTGTCAAACTTCTAGGCTTACAGGAAGGGATGCTGAACGTCCGACGTACATGTTTTGGCGTTGAAAATATCGGCCACAACCTCTCTATTCTTTTGATCTGTACTAAGCTATTACTTTTATATTAAGTTGTTTTGTATTAGTTAGTATATGAATTATGAGAAATTTATTTTTTGTAATATAATATATATATTTACAAATTTTATGTAAAAGATTTTGACTTTTGTTTTTTCAGACATTCACAACTTGCATTTCTTTAAGTGCAATAGCAACAAATGGTATTGTTCCAGGTAAAATTATTTGACTTTATATTTTCATAGTATTTAATATATAATTTAATTGCTTTCTTTTAATCTAGTCTATTCTTGCTAGCAAAAGTAAAAATTTTAATAAATTATCTTGTAATATTTTATTACATATATTATATATATATATACACATATATTTATGAAGAATATATATATATAATTATGGAAGAATATTTTGTCAATTAAGACAAGAAACTTTGCTTCAAGTAGATATTAAAATGATCTGTCATAAATTAATCAATCAATTCCCTAGATTATCATTATTATTTATATTGTAATATATATAATATTGATAATCTAGGGAATTGATTGATTAATTTATAACAGATCATTTTAATATCTACTTGAAGCAAAGTTTCTTGTCTTAATTGACAAAATATTCTTCCATAATTATATATATATATTCTTCATAAATATATGTGTATATATATATATAATATATGTAATAAAATATTACAAGATAATTTATTAAAATTTTTACTTTTGCTAGCAAGAATAGACTAGATTAAAAGAAAGCAATTAAATTATATATTAAATACTATGAAAATATAAAGTCAAATAATTTTACCTGGAACAATACCATTTGTTGCTATTGCACTTAAAGAAATGCAAGTTGTGAATGTCTGAAAAAACAAAAGTCAAAATCTTTTACATAAAATTTGTAAATATATATATTATATTACAAAAAATAAATTTCTCATAATTCATATACTAACTAATACAAAACAACTTAATATAAAAGTAATAGCTTAGTACAGATCAAAAGAATAGAGAGGTTGTGGCCGATATTTTCAACGCCAAAACATGTACGTCGGACGTTCAGCATCCCTTCCTGTAAGCCTAGAAGTTTGACAATGGCGTTTGGAACGTCAGTGGAATCATGCTCGACATTCCAAGCACCATTGTCAAACTTCTAGGCTTACAGGAAGGCAGCACTGAACGTCCGATGTACACGTTTTGGCATTGAAAACATTGGCCACAACCTCTCTATTGACTATATGAATATCCTTAAATAGAAATATATAATAAAATAAATGGAGAAAATTTAGAAAATTATAAAAAGAACCAATTCAGTTCATATTTATAATAAAATAGTTCTACAACTGACAAAGTAATAACTCATAACAGAATTTCTTGAAGGTTACTGCCTGAGTTAGTGTTACTTTGTAAGCTATAGATTCTTTCATCATGAATGTAAACTAAACTTGTTTGGTACTTGTGGATTATCCTCCCACAGATTGCATTGTATATCGTTTTCCAATGTCATCCATCATGCTCTGTTGCATGCTTACAAAACATCATAGACAAGTTTGAATGGGTAACCAAATAAAATAAACAAATACAAACATTGTTTAACCCAATCTTTAAGATTAATGTCAAACGATTGCTGGATTATATCTGGCTATATTATTGCTATTTGTATATTAATATTAATTATAATCATTAAATTTATCAAGAGATGGTGTCTAATGACTATCTCTAGGTGAAATTACTTAACATTTAATTATTAATAGTAGCATTAATATGGCCCAATATCATATGACATTAATCAAATGAAATAATTAAATCCTTTGATCTGTATAAAATTTTGTTAAGATTGATTTGTTTCAACGACATATTCTGATATAAATGAAAAATACTTTTAAAAGAACTATTTTTTAAGAAATCAAACATACCATACAGTCTTTGGTTTGAGAATGTACTGTATTGATGAGACAATGTATAGATAATGAACTATTCGTTCAATTTTTGAAATTAATGAATAGTTTATGTCTGAAGTTGATATTTGTATGCTACAGGAATATGGTATATTAGATTTTGAAATCTTTCAACTTTTAAAACAAACTTATATTTAAAGTAGAAATATCCAAAATGTGGGTGTAACAAAATGAATGTTGGTATGATGATGGTATCAGGACAGACAGACAAATTCAATATGGTAAAAAAGTACAAAAAAGCACAATATTTATTCAACATGAATCAACAAGAAAACAACTAAATTGGTATATTGCTGAATTTGTACAGAGAAGACCATTTTAAACGGAAAATAAGTTTCATGTACTAGTGACAATTATTGTTAAAAAATGGCTAGCCTATGAAGCAAGTTCTAAATGAAAGAAAGTATGAGTAAGTTGTATTACTTTAAAATTCAATTCAAGCAGTAATAATTAAGTTTTAATGTAATAACAACCAAAATTATTAACTGTACTATTTTAGCAAAATTGCTTTGAAAAATTTCAAATAAATTTTAAATTTTTATTTTTGAATAGCACGATATTTTATCTGATTGCAAAATATGCTATGCAACACAATGCAACATTGGAAAGCAACATTCAATACAACTTAAGTGTCTGATACCAGGGCATTTACAAAGTCTCTGTATTTAAATTTTCTTTTCTTTTTTATTGCCATATTCTTTGAATTTTTCACCAAAGATACTGATATTATTTATAAAAAATATCTGCATTGAATTTAATTCATTAAGATATTCTTTACCAAGTTTAAAATCAGTCAAATAAATGAATTGGTATCCCTCTTATGCTATAGTTCCAATTATCTGGGAGCAATTTAATCCAAACTTCTGCATTATTTGAGGAAAATTATGGAAGAATATTTTGTCAATTAAGACAAGAAACTTTGCTTCAAGTAGATATTAAAATGATCTGTCATAAATTAATCAATCAATTCCCTAGATTATCATTATTATTTATATTGTAATATATATAATATTGATAATCTAGGGAATTGATTGATTAATTTATAACAGATCATTTTAATATCTACTTGAAGCAAAGTTTCTTGTCTTAATTGACAAAATATTCTTCCATAATTTTCCTCAAATAATGCAGAAGTTTGGATTAAATTGCTCCCAGATAATTGGAACTATAGCATAAGAGGGATACCAATTCATTTATTTGACTGATTTTAAACTTGGTAAAGAATATCTTAATGAATTAAATTCAATGCAGATATTTTTTATAAATAATATCAGTATCTTTGGTGNAACTTTTATATTATGCTATGGAAATATTATTTGTCTGTTTTAATGTTTGCATTTGATACTTACCACACAACATGATAACAAAACAATTAGAAAAGCTTGTGGAATACCAGCAACACCAACTATCCAAACAAGACGAATGAAGAAAATTACACCAAATATGTTCTGAATACATGGAAGATAAACACCAGCAATAGTCCCAAGATTTGCTTTCTAGAAATATATATATAAAATTATATATTTTTTTCAATAAAAATTAATACATATCTTACATAAACATTGGAAACTTCCTCTTAAAATTCTTAAATGTATGAATTTAATATCATTGATATTATTTTTATCAATAAAAATAGCATCAACGATATTAAGTGTTTTGTATTCATCATCATTTAATGATTTAATAAAAGAATTGAAGAATTAAAATTATATTTTCTGACTTTTATAAAATTATGTTTTTGTGATTAATAAATTTTATTAAGAGTTATTTAAAAAAAATTGTTTAGAATCTAATACCAATTGAAGATACTAGCTTAATATATAAATATATCACACCAACAACAACCAGCAAAAACAAAAAAAACTCTTACTGTATCTAACATTTTCTTCCATTTATAACAGACATCGTCAGGTAACTTAAATGGAAGAACAAAAACACTTAAAAATTAAAATCTTAAAACAATATTTTTTAAATTACAGATCAAGTGCACAAAGTTGCACATGTTTTATGCATCAAATTAGGCCAGTTCTTTATTCTTCCATTTAAGTTAATCAGTTAAACATGATGATGTCCATTATAAATGGAAGAAAACGTTAGTTACAGTAAGAGTTTTTCTTTTTTTGCTGGTTATTGGCAGTGGCGTGATATAGTTATTGAGAATCATTTAAATTTTGAATAATCACAGCTATTTAACCTGCTATAATGAATTTTGATAATTGTAAATTTAAATTCTTCAATAATAACATTCAATAGTAATTTATATTCTCTAAAAAGATCTATAATCAACAGAAATATATAAAAAGAAAAATTAGGTAATTAACTAATAAAATTTAATGTAATATACTTTTGGTTTTGGTTTTGCTTCACTATCATCAACACTTGGAATAGCTACATTGTAATTGGCCAATGAACTGAGAAGTGTTGCAACCCTAGGTCTTTCTGGCATTTCTTCCTAGAAATATCAATTAGCAAAAACTTTAAAAAATATATAAAATTAATTTTCAAATATATTATTACAAAAAGAATTATTATATTTCAGACAATTATTATAACAAGTAATTTTCAACTAATCATAAATTTTAAAAAACTTTAAGTTTTAATTTAATAATTTACATAATAAACCTCAAAAAACAAATAAGAAATTTTATGCTGTTCTCTTCATTTCTATTAAAATATAAAAATCAATTGAAACTTATATAAGTTTTTATTGGAACATTCAAACCTAGTAACAGCTCATGAACCCAGAAAATAGAGGGGCCAGTTTCAAAACATGTTATTTATATGAATAATAGAAAATTTGTCATGATACATTCAACAGCTCAATAAAAACCGGAGATACTACAAAAAATTTTTACAAGTTGTATTGTGGGGAATTACCATATTTTATATTCTATTTTATTTTATTTAGTTTATTCTTATTTATTGTATTAATTTTGTTATGCTTGTTTACTTAATTCGATTTCAGTATACAGCATGTGTTCTAATATAATTTTAAATTTTTAACATGTTGTTCGAAAAGCTATTGATTCAAACGTCTTTAACCTGATGATGGCGCATAGAATGGGTTGAAAACGTTTGTTCAGCAAAATAAATGAGCTTTCTCAGTATTAAAGTGTGTTGACTTTATAAAGTTAAAGAATCTGAGTGTGAATAAGAAAGTATAAATTTATCTACAAATTTTAAAATAATAACAATTAAACATTCTTATTTAAACCCTAGTTTTAACAGAAAAATTTCTGAGATAATGAAAATTATAGCTGAATTATACTAATTTTCTGAAGTTTTTAAAAAAATCATAAATGAAATTCAAATGAAAATTTTTCATTTCATTAATTTACTTTTTTATTTTTCTTTGCCACTTGTAAGAATGTGTCATCAAATTATTGGAATCTATCCCAATCATATCAATTGTCAATGAAACAAAATACTACATACATACATACTTTAAATTTTGGATAAAACTACCTTTAATCTTTGAATGACCAATAGTTTCATGTGAAATACAGCAAAATTTTTAAAATAGTTCATAAAACCAAACCAACTTAACAATAAATTGATATAATACAGTAAAAACAAATTCCTATTTCTTTGAGAATTGAACATTTTAGTTAACTTACAAATCATTGTTCAGATTACTTAATTATAGCTTGTATTAGAATTTTTCAAAAAATATTACTGTACCGGTATTTAAATTTTTTCTAACGAGTTGTTCTATTTTAAATGTAGATGCCTGAAGTTTTAAAAAAAACCAAACATTTGCAAGATTTACAATTAAATTTGTTATTTTTGTAACCTATGTACAAGTAGTTTCTTTTTTATAAAATTGTACATGATCCAATGTACTGTACCTCTGATCTATTATAAGTTATGTAAGTTAATTTATTTTTGTTTCATTGAAGCAAAAAGTAGGAAGTTATATAACTCTTTGTATAAAAAAAAAAAAGGCATTACAGTACAGAAAATTTCAATGCTAATTTCACTGTTCTTAATCCAAATTAAAAATACATTTTTGTCTACTTTTAACGACTTATTATGCTTATTAATAATTTGTACGGTACAGTATCTAGATATGTAATAATTCAAAAACTAATTCCATTCAATTAGAAATTTCTCAAACTTTTATATTTTTATAATTAATTTTTTTAGTTAATGAAATTAAAACTTATTTTAAAACTTACATGGTATAAATACATATTTTTTTCATAACTGGACAACTGATCATCAATAATTGGTTGATCTTCAGGTAATAATCCATCACCTAAATAATTGGATAAAATTCACATCATTTAGTTATTGTTGAATAGTTTAATAAAAATATTTAAATCTATAATCTATGAGTTTGACTTCATAAATTAATCAATGATTGAAATAAACTGAGGAGCACTAATGGTAAAGAACAGATTTTCATGTAATCCAACACATTATTTACAAATTAAATGTTTTTCATAATATTAGTTGCTTTCATCAAATTCTACCATTATTTTATTGTCAGTGCTCTTCAGTTTACTTTATGGAGTCAAATATTGTGAAGAATATATTTAAATAGATGAGCCCAGTGTTGCTTAGACAAAAAGTAACGATAGCAAAGATTAAGATTATTAGATTATAACTGATCTTACCCGTTTTCACCGAGTGAAAAAATTAGATCCCCCCACTTCCAAGACTAAGCAGAAAATTTATAGATATCTGCTTACCACACTGGGATAACGATAATTAAGACTCACAGCAACCACTAACCAGTGCATAGTACCACTAAGTGATGACTAACAAACGTTTTCGTAACCCCTTCTGGGTTCTTCTTCAGGTTTACTAAATTCAAAAAGTAAGCTGGATCTTCCCGAATCATTCATAAATATAAATTTCAACATAAAATTGAACATTAAGATGAAGAATTCAAATAAAGCTAACTTATGCACTCCGAATGTCAACTTTATATATGATGGAACACTAAATATAGTTGAGAATTTTTAGAAGGGTCAAAATATATGTTCGATTTCCTGCATAAATGCAAAAAAGACATTTAAAATAGTACAGTAAAAGCTGAGTTCTTCAAGATAATCCTTAACCCTCTCTCTTTCTCACTCAGTGGAAATTTCGAAAAATCCCTTCTTAATGTGCATTCTTAATGTCTATTTTTATGTCATTGAATTAAGACAGCTTTTGATGTGAAATTGTCTTTCGTGTGTAATTTATGAAATGATTATTTAAAGGACAAACATGTCTTTTAATGAACCTTCATTTAGTAAAACTGTTCGGAGATGGATAGACAAATAGTTAATTGTTATGTTTGATGATATTTAATTAATAAACAATGCAAAGTTAGCAATGATTCTTGCAAAGTTATCAAAATATTTGTTAACTTTGACCTTTGATAAATGTTTTGCAGCTATGGTCATTGAAGTGTCCCAAATTACATTAATTACGTAGATTATTGGGCTGTATTTAAAAAATTGTAGACCTATAAATTCCCACTGTCATCCATTTGTCTTTCCTTAATCTCGAGAACAGAGATAGATAGATGAAATCCGAGACAGATATGAAAACCTTAGGGGCAGGAGGTCCTGATTAACTATATATAAAATTTCAGGGAAAAATTCCTACCTCTCAAAAATTTTCCCGTAAAGGTGTTAGATAATTGGCATGACTCTACTATTAAAGGAAAAGTATGATGTACAGGGGCAAGACGATAATTTATGATAGAGAGCATATTTTAAATTAAATAAATTAAAAATATGAGTAAAAATTGCAGCCTGGTATTGTGACAATGTCATAATAATTAAATGAGGAATTTAAAACTAAATCGAGAACTATTCTATAAAGTAACTGTCCAATAACAGCATGTAATATACTTGTAAAGTTATTACTCTATAATTATAAGTTTCTGTGATCTTGAATTAGGAAATATTCATGATATATATAAAAGTAACTGACTAACAAGACATTCTAAAAAGAGTATTGTTGGAAACAATAACAGGTGTTACATATTTCATTAAATTTTATATTTCAAGATTATATGGATTTAAATTGGATTATGCATAAGTTTTTTTTTATCTATTTATTAAAATTTGATTAGTTGTTTGATCAGTAGAATATAAATTTTTATTAGAATTTTTTTTTATTGATTTCTAATGTTTACAGATAAAAACAATATACTTTAAATAATCTTAAAATAGCAATATAATTATTCATAGCAAAACATTTGCTATGAATAATCATATTGCTGAGATTTAAGGTTAATTAAAGTATACATTTGAGTGTATAATGCAATCAGTTTTTGCTTTTTGTGTATGATAAAATATACATGTTTTGATAAAAACAATTTATATTTATTTCCTACTGGGTTTTAATTAGATAATCAAACAAATTGAAACCAATATGAATTTGACTATTTGTTATTGCCATATATGCAAATTCAGTGGTATATTTCTTTCTTAACATGGTCTTAATAGAATAAGTTTTCTAATAGTAGTTTCAAGTATATTGAAATTCAGTGGAAATTTAATTTAATGTTCAGAGTCTTACCAAAAACTTAAAATACAAAAAACACTAAAATATTAAGGAATCTTGTTTATTTTAATCACATTTTATCATAATTTTTTTAAAATATTCTTTTATTTGAAATAGTTGTTTTTGTAATCAGAAGATGAGACAAAATGTCTCAAAAAAATGTTTAATTATGACTAAAATACACAAAAACTCCTTAATGTTTAGTGTAGTAAAACTTTGATTTAGCAGATTTAGGATTTAACAGACAAAATTTCCTGTCAGTATGTCATATGCAAAAATTAACACCCTATTAATTTTAAAATGCTTTTTATATGTAATTAAATTGGTAAATTTTTTTTCAAATCTAAGAGTCTTCGTACTACAGCAGGAGAACTTTGATATGTTATTGTCCAAAGATGAATAAGTAGGAAATTATTTTTTGTTCTTTTCAAATTTAAAGTTTTTTTCTTTTTAAGAACATTTTTTTTAGTTAAATACAATTAATATGTATTTTGCAAAAAATTATTTATTTTGATTTAGATTGTACACTTCTTTATTACAGTCTCAGAATTACAGTGAGTACAAAAGCAATAATAAATATAAAGTAAAAAGATTTTAAATGTATTTATATTTTATTCTAATAAATAAAATATTTTAAAATGTTTTTACTTATGTAGATATGTTTGTGTAATTAAAATTAATACTTAATTTTAATTTCACAAACATATCTACATAAGTAAAAACAGATAAAAAATTAACAAATTAATTAGTTTAACAAATGCATTTGGAAAACCTACTTTATTATATAATGGACTTTCGGCTTTACCAGACATCCCCTCATCTGAATTAGTCTGTTAAATTGAGGTTTTACTGTATTTGTGTATTTTAGTTTAAATTAAATTATAATATATTGTTCTTGTTTGATACTTAATTATGATGCTGTAAAGTAAATGCTTAGAAAGTTGCCTCACAACAATAAAAAGTTATTTCACATTTGTTACTTTGAGATCAGTTATTATTTGCTTCCATAAAATTTCCTAGAACTCGTCATAGTCATTGTTACCTCTATTCTATTTTAAATTTATACCATTCCATAGTTCATTACTATTTACTCATGTAATTTTCAATTAATAGCAAAATTTAAATGCTTATTAATTTATAAGGAAATTTTTCAAACTGTCAATTCATAGTGTTGTATTATGCACATGGTGAGAGGTGGTTTTTCACAAAGAGACAGGAATTAAAACAAATAAAACGTGCTTTAATTTTTCTTGTGGTAACTAATACAAGAAAGGTTCATACATATTCCGACCTCCTGATTCCTTAATTCAAAAAAATACACCTGTTCCGATACACAGCAGAACAAGAACCCTCGCGATACAAAAATTTCCTTATTATCTAACTTAAATCTACTTATTCTAAAAATATAAGAGAAAAAAAAACGGATAGAATATGAGAGAGACAGAAAGATATTCTCTAGAAGGAGCGGGTACCCGAATTGGTGATCGATGTGGAGCAGTTGGATGACGTTGTCTTGGGATGTCTTTCGGGGACGGGCCGTCTGTGGAAATCCATGAATAAGCCTATGGGATCTTTAGTCTACCAATGTCCGTACTAACAATCTCCTTTCTTCAGAACTATTCGTGACTCCTTTTTAGGTGAAGCAACACCGACCTGGAGACCTCTCTCAGGTGCGTCTTTCCTCTTCTAAACCCAAAGCAAGAAGTGGCTTTCTGGTCTCCTACTTGCCCCCTGGGCTCTTTCTTTTCATTGTCCCCTAACTAGGTCACCCTACCACCCACACTTGGAAGAAAGTTCCAGAAGTATAGACAAAGGAACACAGAACAAAGAAGGAAGGGAGAATAGAAAAACATATATATATACACAAAAATATAACAGAATACACTGGTGTACCACCACAATAGTATATATATAATCATTTTTTGTGTCTTTAATTCTATTACAAACAATTTTTAATATAAGTTTTTTCTATATCTGAAATAAATATATAAGGAATAACTTTCTAAATTTACAATAAAGTTTGATTACCAATAGATAAAATTAAAAGTTAAAAACTATAACATTGTAAGTGTTATATTTATAATATAGTAACTAAATTATGTAAAATTATAACTTTCAAGAGTAAATAATGTGTTTTAAAAACAATACAAATCAAGCTATTTAACACTATTAACTTAAAATGTACCGTATATATTTTTGTATTGAAATCAATATTTAAACAAATACATAGTTTACTCTGTTCAAATACTGGTATAAATTAAGAAAACTAAAATCAGTAATAGAACTTCATATTGGGATTTATTATTGGTTCTAACAAAATCAGTCAGTTTAAATTAATAAAAATATTAGTATGTATGTTCATTTTAAAATGGAAATTTAGCTTCAATAAAAACTGTTCAGTTGTATTGGTCAAATGTGACCTACAGATAGGGTTGCAAAAAATAACATACTGATTTTATTTGAATAACCACCACTCTTGAATAGTAACTGCACCTTGTCTTTAAAAGCATGAAATAATAACTGCCCTCAAATAGTAGCCATGTCTACTATTCAAAGAGTTGTGAAAACTTAAGGAAATAAAATTAATAAATATCATAAGCTATTGTATACAGATATTGCATTTATTTAACAAGCAAACTTTAATATAAAATGAAATATGTAAAATGCACAATATATAGTAAGCACACTTTATTTTCTTATTACTGGTTTTAATGAGTTACTTTTTATAAACTATATTTCTGTGTGTTTAGG